TGCATGCACAGCCATTGCTCTTGCAATGCAAGGAGAGGCAGGACGAGTTTTGGCTGATGGAATGGACAAAACTTGCAGTGGAAGGTAACCGAAGTTGCAGCTGGAGCTGCTGCTCTAGGAGCAGGCAGAGAAAGAAGACAAAGCACAGCTTCGTGCTCGGTGACTCTGCAGGTGGCATGGTCCTTTCTCTTGCTGATAAGCTCCAACTTGCAGGTCAGATACCAACATAGCTCCCAGCAGCCAGTGAAGCCCTGGGCGGCTGACAGCTATGTCACATCTTTGGCAGGATCTACTGCCACTGAATGCAAGAATCCAGGTAGCCCAATCCAGCAACTGTACCAGCTCAGGCATTCGTGGCAGGAGTGCACAATGGTGCTCAAAAGGTCTGCTGAAATTCTTTGCCTTCCTTCTGTCCATCACTCTCTTCTCTGCAGCTCCTCTAAACCCAGTGCAAGCTGAAGGCGGCTGCTTAGTGACAGCCCCTGGAAAGGATGGCAGGCAAGCAGAGAGAACAGCCCCAGTGGCTTCTCCTTGGTAGCAGCCATTTCTCACCCTAGTGTCTCATGTGCTCATTGCATAATTCTGAGAGGTGTCTGGATTTTCCATCTCAGGGATCCCAAGCTTGGACTTAAGGTCAACCCTTATACAGCTCATCAGTGAACAGGAGGTAAGTGAGCTCTTTTCACACAAGCACAAGTGTGGTTGAACAGCACGAGTGAGCTCTTTTGCTTGTCACACAAGCACAAGTGTGGTCACCCTACGTGACTGTTCAATTGTCCTAGTAAGGAATCATCTGTAATTGCTCCTCTGTCTGATTGAGCTTGTGGCTGTTCCAAAACCTACTTGACTTGTTCTACTTCTCACATTTCCCTAGCTTCCTAAGCATGCAAAACTTTGTTCATGCAAAATCAGTCTCATTAACATCCTCTGCAACACCTCAATCTTCTCAGAGCTGCCCATCCAGGATCTAGCCCCTCTCACAACTCACCTCACACACCTCAGCTTGGAGTTTCTTCTCACAGTTGATGTCAGTCTGTTACGTTCACATTTATTCCTTATCCACGCTTGAGAATACAGAGGGTCATTCAATCCTCTGTGCTCCCTTTGCCCTCTCCCACCATTTCATTCCAGCTGGTGGAAAAGCTCTCTCCACCACAGCTCCTGCCAAATGGAAACATCTCTCTCTTTCTCACCTATTTCAAACCCTCACTCACAAATTTCTTGTCTCTCTTCTCTAAAGTGCCTTCCCAGCCTCTCCTGCTGGAACGTTATTTTGGTGTGTAACAGTGAGCACTAAAGTATTTCTTGCTGCAGTGTGCAGAAGAAACACTGCGCTGTGTTTTGTCTGCAGAAGTTTTCAGAAGAAAACTCTCCACTGTACTGTGGAGAGTCAGGAACCCTCAAACTGGTCTGTGCACTGTTTTCAGGAAATGGAAAACCAGAAAAAAGGCAAGGAGTTTTATGCAGAGAGTTTCTTATTAGGAATAATTTTCTTTTACCATTCAAGACCAGATTGTGTGAGATGCTCTACAAATCTATAACAAGAGACTGTCTACCCTTGGACACTTGCAAGATAAAGAAACTAGACAGGAGGGGAAAAAAAAAAAGTGGTTTGTTCCTCCCTATTCCTCCCCTCAACAAAAGAAGAAGAAAAAAAAAGTAGTAAATTCAGGCAGCCTTGTCCTCTATTCTTTAGATGCCCAAGCAAAACTTACTCTGAATGTACTGAACCAGCTGAGGGCTTTCTGCCTCTGGAGATAGACTGGCCTGCAGCGGAAGGAAGTGTTCTTGACTACCACTACCTCCCAGAACAACAACAACACAGACAGACAGATGCATCCAGGGCACAGACATTGCTGCTGCCCCTCTCCACTGGCCCCCTGTGAACTGGCCACAGGAGAGACTCTTGTCGCCGAGCGGCTCTGGCCTCCTGTGAACTGCCACGTCAGCAAAACGCAGAGTCTGACGCTAGGATGCTGCAGCAGGAAGAGCAAGAAGCCAACCCGGGTGATGCCTGGCAAATTCTCTAATTCTGTTGTTCAGTTCACACCCTCCTTTGCTCACGGGCTGCTCTGTCACACCTGCCTGTCCACAGAGCACCCTGAAAAGCCACCAACACATTATGCAAGACCTCATAATTCCTCGCAATTCAGCACTTCCGCTAAGTGCGGGAACAGACGGACTACTGAAAGCTTGCTCCCTAGGGTCATGCTCAGACCGCAGCATCTTCCAGCCACGCTGTAGAGCTTACAGAGCACTCTTCAGGACATATCTGCTGCTCAACAGACACCTTGGCCCAACGCACGAGTGTGGCTAGGCTGCACAGAGATCAAGGGCGAGTGACAAGATACCATTCCTGAAATCCTCGATGCAGCCCCTGTCAAATGAAACATCAGCTCTCACTGTCTGAATTACAAAGGCTGGCAGCAGGGAATACTGGAGGAAGACAAGGTTATACACCTGGACTGTCCCTGTGCTGGGAGACAAATGAGAGGCACACAACACAAAAACGGACAGTGCAAGGTCAGTCAGGCTCTTGTTACATGCACTTAATACAAAAGCCAAGAAATTGCCATGGAAACTAAAAAGCAATAAATATAATTGTGGTCCAAGGAGAAGAGTTTTGGGCAACACAGCATTGAATAACAGAACTCACTGCCTCCAAGTATCACAGGACACAAGGTTCTTGCAGGATTCAACCACGCAGTTCATGGGACACACACAACCGTACAAAAACGGCTGGAAACACTAAAGGATACAAAGCTCTCATGCCCCACGACATGACCTCGTTCTGGGGCCGTCATCTCCTTCCTCCACGGCTTCATGTCCTACTGGTACTTCCTTGAATCATAGGTTACCCCTCTACTCATGACTTACATTGCAGCGTGCATGGTGGGCTCAGCCCTAAATCAAGCCACTGATATGCTGCACTATACAAACACAGAGTGAATGAACAGCCTCTGCCCAAAAGAGCCTGTATCTTCACACGGACCGAGACACAACAGGCAGGCAGAGGTGGAGGAGCAGAAGGACCCGGCGACACAGCAGTGCTTTCAGTCCATCCCAGCGGCCGGTGCAGGAGCCTTTCGAAAGAGAGGCCCTTTGCACAGACGTGACACAGTCCCACGCAGACGCACAGGGCACTGACACACACCCAGACCAACGTACCCACCCAGCGCACCCAGACCAACGCACACCCCTACGAGGCTGCCCTGCTCAGATGGCCTGGCATTAAGGAAAGCAAACACCTTTACACCTGTCTTTGGTCTCCAGAGGAACAGGAGGGCGGGAGGGGCTCTGCCCACCCTGACCACAGTCACAAGGCCGCTCCTGCCAGTGTGTTCCCGGGGTTCACCACTCAGGAGGGCACAGCTGAAGACTGCCTCCTCCTCGGCGCACCAGAGCCCTGCTGATTTCTGCAGGGAGCCCTTGTTGGGTGCTCCCCACGCTGGGACAACCTCAAACAGCATACCACAAAAGGCTTGTTGACACTGCAAGGTCTGCCTCATCCCAGGGAAGCAGACCCCTTTGCACGTACCCAGTGGTGCTCCTCCAGGTCCCTCGCCAGTGTCACTGTGTCTTGGCAGCAAGTGCAATTTGGGTCTCTCACAAGAGCTGGCAAGAAGGTGCCCTCTCTAGTACCTTCCACCTAAGTCCAGACACTTTGCAGGTATCTTTGGATCTCCCAACCCATCACCAAGACACACATGCACTCTGCTTTGGGGGTGTGGGGCCAGAAAGGAAGAGATGTTTTCTCAAAGACTCACAGAGTGAGCCTTCAACAGAAACAAGGATGAACAAAATCTAGGAATTTCGGTGTCCAGGACTAGCCCAGAGAGCCTGAATCAGCAGTTGTCCAGCAGTGCGGCAGGAAGAATAAAAGCCTGGGGGCTGGTTAGTGGTGCCTATCCCCAGTGCCCCAGCAAGACTCTTCTCAGGACTCTCAGGGCCCAGCTATGAGATGCTCCAAGCAGTAGAGCTCTGCTGTGAGTCTCTCAAGCGGGGGCACATGGAAGTCTACAAATCTTTTGCCTAAAGCAGAGGAGAAGCCCACCTAAGACATTCCCTATTGCAGCCTCCTCTCACATGCACCCTCGATTACCCTTGGTTTCACCTTTCTGCCCACTGCCTCTCTGCACTGGTGCATAGCACATACACCCTCAGGCCCTGATGTGAGAAGAACACTCAGTTCAAGAGGTCTTCAAGGGGCAGCAAAGCTATCTCAGCAACATGCCTGCTCCAGCAGGAAGCTGGCCACAAGGAAAAACCGGCAGTGACTTTCCAGAGAGAAGCTGCAGCTTGGAAGAGCTGGCGGACCCAAGCCTCCAGCACATCGGTGTCAGATGAGGGAAAAGACACCTCTTCCTGCTCCGGACCCCCCGCTCATCTGCTGCCAGCAAGTAAGATGCCTTTGCTGGGAGGGATGACCGTGTCCCCCTCAAACACAGCCTGCCCTACGCAGCAGCAGAGCTCGCAGCCCCCTGCACAAAACTGCTTTCTCTGTTGGTGCTCTGCTCCTCACCGTACCCGGGTTTCAGTGTTCTGACGGAGCTCAAGCAGGGCACAGAGAGAGGACATCAAAACTCCTCTTTCACTAGAGAAAGGGGTTGGGGTCTCTTGCCCTTTTGCTCTGCAGACATGAAGCAGCTCTGGGAAACTGCACAAAGCTAGAAGCCAGCAATTTTATCTTAGAGATCAAATCTGTTACTGTGGTGAGTGAGTGCCTTCAGCTGCCTCGACAAACCCCTCACTTCCTTTCTCCCCTCACTGGGCTTTTTTATACCCTCCCTCCCCTAAGCTGTCAGGGCAAACAGCAGATTCCTGCCCCCAAAAGTTGTCCTGTGTTTAGCAGCTGTTTGTTGTGCTGACTGCACATAGATTTGTACAGGGACCAGACCGCCCCTGTCATCTCAACCCCCTTTGCCCCCAACCACAAACAGCACTCCCTGCCCTGAGCACAGGCATCTGGATATAGGGCTGCTTGCCCCACTGCCACTGACCTTTTTCTTCCGGTCCCTGGTTCCTGCGCTTGCGATTGGATTCTTCCTTCTCTTTCTGCTCCTGCAGAGCCTGAGCCTCAATATCTTTGATTTTCTTCAGCTGCTTAGCTGCTTGAGCCATGGCCGGTCAGACTGCAGATCCCTCCAGAGCTCACACCTGCACTTTCCACACAGCACCCTCCAATTCCTGGCCAAGAAAGTCCCTTCCCCTAGCTCAAACACTGTCGACCTAGATGAGCGTGAAACCAGTAATGAGAGGAGAAAAGAAAGCAGTCAAGTCCCAAAGGGCAGCCGATGTCTCCAGCTAATTGCTAGATGGAGTCTGAGACACCTTTATAAAGCATTAATAATCCTAAATCCAGCTGCTCCAGAGGTTCCGTGCACCATTGTAGCAGCCCCTGACTGCACTGGCACATCATGCAGAATCCTCCTTGTGGGACAGGACACTGGCTGGTGCTGCACTCACCCTCTCACTGTCTCTCCTGCAGTACGAGAAGAGATGCAGGCAGTCAGCCACAGGAAGGAAAATAACTCTCAGCAATTAATGCGTGATGACAATAGAGAAGCAGTGAAAAAGGAGGCTGATGCATTTCATCCTGACTTCTGGGTTCTCTGTAGCAATGCACACAGAACAGTAACCTGCACGTAGTCAGTCGGTGGCTTTACCACTGCAGTGCTGCTGAGGCAGGCACATATTCCAGTCTCTTCAATTTTCTTCCTCTCAGTCACTCTCTGTGCAGCAGCCGCATCACTCGCTCGCTCTCTGGGTTATGATTCCAGCTCCTTTCAAGGGGAGCAAGAGGGAATCGCTGCATCTGTTAGGAGGCAGGCAGAGTCTCTGCTCGAAAACAGCCGATACTGCTGAGGATGTGCTGAGCACTGGAGCAAAGTGCAGCTTCACAGCATCCTCTCCTCCTCGCATCTCTCCACTGAGTGAGCAGCGAGGGGAGGGGAGGGATCTTGGCTGTGAATGAGAGACAGAAACCAAGGGCTCAGACTGCCTCTTTGGCTACACAGCACCAGAAGAGTAAACCAGAGGCACCAGCTCCTGCCCATCCAGGTGTCACCAGAGCTCAAGTCCTCTCTGAGGATCCCCAGTCAAGGCTCCTGGAGAGCCAGCCATCCCTTCTCCACACACATCTGCACATTTCATCTGCAGCTGCGTTCCAAAAGCACAAACAATTCCATGCTGGAAGCCAGGGGTCAGGCCTGAAGGTGTAACTTTGGTTCCTGCACATGGCACCAATGTGAGAGGGTCAGGATAGAACTGGGGAGGACTCTTTGGTGGTGACCATACCGTGACCTGCAGCAAAGTGCACTTTATTGTTCAGGCACTTCTGAGCAGTCCTGCCTTTATTAGCTCAATTCTCGTCACTCAGAAAAACTGTCCCCTATGTGCAAACCCACGGGAAAAGCACTGGGAAAATTATCTGCCCAGGTGGAAGCCCTGCACACGCTGCGCTTTTCTGGCACAGTGCCCCCCGATTCTAGACAGAAAGGGTCTCCTTTGTGTCAGAAGAAGGTGAAGTGGGGATTAACGTCCATTTCTCAGCAACTACTTGACAGTCGCTTACAGGTTATTTAGACTGGCAAGAAGCTGAGATGCACTTAACTGTACAAACACTATAGGTCACTTTTCTGTCCAAGTAAGTTTTCCTGAATTTCTTTTCCAAGTTCCTCCAATTCTGTTGCTTCACCCACAGACCAAGTAGGATGCTAAAAAGCAGGAAAAAGACTGCTGCATCATATAGTTTTTAAAGAATACGATGACTGAGAATAAAGAGGAGGTCCTAATAAAATACAAAGAATAGGAAATCATCAAATTTTACAAGGCTTTTCCAAGGACAGCTTTAGTTCTATGTACTGTACCCACATGGATAAATAATACACTCAAGTCTAGATACAGCTGCACATCTTTATATAGCAATGTCTTATGAATGCCCATGCAAAAAAAATTACAAAACTAAATAGAAGCTGCATAGTGAAAGGCTCCACAGATAGGAGGTGCCACGAGCACAGCTGTACTAGTCACCCTAATTGTGCCTCTTCCACATGGGCACTTCGCAAGCCAAACACAAAAAAATGACCTGTGGTCAACAATGAGCATGCAGGAGGCAAAAGAGTTGTCGCAATTAACCGTAACACGCTGAGAGCTCCTCACTTCTGTATGTTTGACTTTGCATCCTAAACCGGCTCTCTGTTAAACAGTTTTGAATTCTGAGGAATTTCCTAATTTTTCACAACTGAGAACTCAGGAACGAAATCAAGTTCTGCTACATACAACAGCATCGGTGCCCACCACCAGTACTCACTAGTGTCTGGGCACCACCCTTTCAGTGCTGGGGGGCACACCGAGCTCCGGGCACAGCTAGCAAGGCTGCAGCGAGGCACTGCTGTGACTTTACGGTGCATCCCTAATCTGAATCCTGCCTTCCAGGTTCCAAGACTTAAGTTGAGTCAGACTTCAGAAACCCAGCCCCATGACGTGGCAGGGTCTGCACACTTGCACTCAAGGCGTAGCTGTGCCACACTCCAGACCTTGGCATAGGCATCCCTTGTTTTTCCTGATGTCAACAAAGCATCTACTATAGACACAACTAAATGGCATCAGGCAGTGGCAATCTGCTCAGTCTTTGCTTGTATGCCCGTAGGATGTTGCCTCCTCCTACTAACAGATCCCACCTCTTAACTCCTTGTATGTCAGAACAGAGTGAGCACAGGAGAAGAGCAGTAGTCATCAAGGGAGAACGCACCGGAGCAATCTGATGGGTCAGGATTGCATCCTGCAGGAAGGACTCATGGCGGAGAAGTCTGTGGACTGTCCTGTGAGGAGGAGATCCACTGGAGCAGGGTGTCAGCAGCCCTCCTCCTTTAAGAAAGGAGAAGCAGAAACAACATGTGACAAACTGACCGGCAGCCTCCTTCCCCCCTGTGCCCCTCGGGGAGGAGGTCCAGTCGGGAAGAAGGGAGAGGTGGGGGGAAGGTGTTTTTAAGATCCAGCTTTGTTTCTTGTTATCCTCTCTGAATGAACCATTAAGGAATTACATTGTTTTGTTCCCAAGCTGAGTTTTTTTTTTTGCCGGGGCCATGGTCGGTGGGTGCTCCCTCCCTGTTCTTGTCTCACCCTCAGCCTTTTGTTACACTTTTCTCCTCTCACCTCCCCGAG